AAGGACCCGTCAATCAATTCGAGACTGGTTTCAATTATATGTTTAGATTTTTGGTGGTGGGCTACCCTTTTGTTTACATTTGAATTAAGGAATGCCCTTTTAACAAACTATAAAGGAGATTATATTGAAACGATAAGTAGCAGACGTAGGTTATCTAAAAAGGTACTTAGTTCATAGCTGTGTCAATACTTTCTAGCTGAGTGCATGTATTAAATAAGGAAAGATTTCTCCAACAAAACTGCAAAACACTTAACTTCCTTTTTCATGGGCAGGAACTGGATGTAATGATACAACTGGCCCTTATACAAGGTCACTAGCCTTGATAACCTATTATACTTGATTTATCTACATCTAGAAACAAAAAGAGACTCACAAGATCAATAAACTTTTGTCACACTGGGGATGTAACAGCCGTATTAGCTTATTATTAGAAATGCAATAATGGATAACATAATCATCAAAGGTAAGTTGAAACCTTTCACTGCTTTGTTTGATTAATGACCTTTATTATACTGTAATTAAATTCCCAGTTGGATGGTTCATATTCTTATCATCACTAGTCATGAAGAAAATTGACTGCATTATTGGAAAAAGCCAAATCCTCCTTCGATCCATCACGTCATTGTCATGCTTCATGTTTGAAAAATGAGTGACAGTTATATATTTCAATCATATCTGGACAGGATAATGAAAGAAATAATCTTTACTACATTAAAGACAACAGTTACTGTAACAGTACAGTAACACAGTCTTTCGAAAGGTTTTGTCTGTTTTTACTTATTTTATTTTTGTTTCAAAGGCCAAGTGGCCAGGAAAAATATTTCATCAGAGTACATCATCTAGAGCTTCTACTTTAATTTGTTGATCAAGGAGTTCTGCTTTTTAGGGGCCTTAGCAAATGAGGAGTCTAAAGTGACTGCAGATCACCAGTCTAATGAAGTACTGCATAATGCCTGCCTCTCAAATACTAACCTCCTGTAGCTCTCTTCAATATCCCCTGTTCCTCTTTTTGAAATAAAAATAATGAAGCAGTGGAGAGTTGAAGAGACAGCAGAAGATGGTTGATTGAGTCCCCCCACTGTGCTGTGTGTGTGTGTGTGTGTGTGTGTGTGTGTGTATGTGACTGTGTATCTCATTTTGAAATTATTTGATTGTTTTCGAACAGAATATGAAACATTTAGCAGAATTAGAAAGAAAAACAATACCTAATCTCATGAAGATACTCATTTATAATGATATTATAAATGATAGGATTACCAGTGTTTGGCATTAACATGTTACTTGATCATTTTTTCAGTGAGAAGCAGGGTATAGCATTACAATTTGAAATTCAGTAATTGCGTTCCAGTTACTGATCCCTGTTACACTCATAACATATTGGGGTCAGGGTTACACGGAAGGTTGATTTTACTTTTGTAAATGTGACTCCCAGTAGCCACAATTATGCCTTCAATTAAGAGTCACTTAGTCTCATTCAGAGTTAGTTGTTTAAATGCACCTTGGACAGACCTGATTTTTACTCTCCACTGATATAAATCATTAATCTGAACAATGGTAGGAGTTATGGTAGCTTCTCCTATCTACTGTACTTCATCTGTGTCTGTCAGTTTGGCTTTGGATGGAACGTTTCCTTTTAAGGGCACGTCCATGTTCTTATTGTGTGTTGCCCTGTTTATATCGCTGTTTGTGTGATTGTGTGTATGTGAGTGTGTCAGAGAGAGGTGACATTGTTCCTGGCAGAAATATGTTCCAGGTTTGGGGCTCAGGTGGCTCTGGTTTGTCTCTGATCAGAGCTGACACACAGGATGGCAGAGGAACACACTCTCCCTGTCTCTTTCTTGATTTAGCTCAATCTCGCTCTGGGTTGTAATCCCCTCCTCTCTCCATACACACACACACACGCACACACCCCTATGCACTGAGCTGTGGTGTAAGCTCTATCAATCTTTTTGAACATCGCTACCGAGCAGCACTGCGGCCCAATAGCCTCTGCTCTCACACCTGATGCAGAGCAGAGAGTGGGCCGCTGCTGCTGAATGAAGTCATCTCGCTGGGCTGAGGACGCTGCCTCAATTCTTTGCTGCTCCTCTGTACAGTATGTACTTTTAACTTGAACAGAATAGCTTATGAATAGGTTTCTGCGTGGCCTAGAATATACTACTTCAAAGCATGCTAAATTTGAAAAGGCTGTTGATATACAGCTGAAAGAATGAGGACAAAATGGTGGACCAAATGAATGAACTGATTGCGCCGGCCGCTGCTGATATCAGACAAAAGCTGGCCGTGTCTTCTCTAGATCCTTTCATCATTCTGGCATGTTAAGGATGTTATGTTGTTGGTTCCGAACACAATTAGGGAGCCAATTGAGGAGAGTTTTTGCCACATTAATGTAAGGTTATAACAGTTTTTTTTGCACTCTGAACCTGATTTTTTATGCTGAATCTTTATTTGTGCAACAATTCAAACCACTAAGAGTAAGAGTGTGGATTAGATTTTTTATTTAATGAGTTGCAAAATCACATCGCTGCCGATATAGCGATATTTGATGGGACTTATTCACAGGCGAGCATTTCACATTTTTGTGACGTCTATTCATCGGTATGTAAAAGGCCTTTAGGGTGTCATGTCTATAAATAATTTACACCAGGCAAGATGTAACCAAAGTTTCATGATACAAACAACTGCCAACTACTGCAACTACATACTGTTGTATTACTGCCATCTTACACGATGTGGCCATTCTACAGCAGCAGTCCCACTTCATCAATCGCTCTATACATAAAAAAATCTGCTCTCTATTTATTTTCAGGTTGCAAGTTACAAGTAATGTTCTGCTTACTGAAAGACACTGGTGTTGTGTTTCAATATACCTACCTGCTTTAACTACACTGTACTAGACTTTTACAATGAGGGGACCGTAGCTGCTAGTGAGGACACTAGGTTCATGTCCTCAGAGTTTACATTCTACAGTTGGTTTCGAAAGCTGGCTCTGATCTTTTTTTTTTTGACTAAATATACTTAAAGGTCCCCTCCAGCCAAGGCTTTTGTGTCAGATTTGGATTTTCCACAAAAAAATGCTCAATTACTTCATTAAATATTCTGAAAACTACATTTACTTATACTCCATCAAGAATCTAAGAATATGCTAATATTGTTTGTTTTAAAAGTTTAACTGCTATACACAAGATGTGTCCTTTACTCAAAAGTCTGTACACTCAACTTTGCACATCACTCCTGTTTAAGTTACATACTGAACCATGATTGGCTTACAGACTTGTATGATGACACGAAATCCTGCTTGTACGTCCATGTCTAAAACTGAGATTCAAAGTGAGCACAGAGAAACTTTCCTCCTTCAGCAGATAAACTTGAAAACAGTTTCGTAGTATCAAACTCTGCACATACATCATTCTGCACAGCAAAGCGAAGTGAAGGAACAATAAGCAAAACACATTTTTGACCCTTTTTAGGCAAAGTATACCAAAACATATTAAAATGTAATGGAGGGATTCAGTATTTCTCGACTAGAAATATATCCCCGCAGTGTGGAGAGGGCTCTGACACAGCATCAAGTAAGAAGATACATTAAACATTTTAATAAATGAGTCAAGACAATTAAATAATCAAACATTTTACAGGCTGGTTACTTATCCTTTTTGGATTTTGATTTTTGATGGATGGGGTTGTACTTGGTTATCTGGTTATCTAAAATTCTGGCTTATGTGCTGGATACCAGTGTAACTGCACAGGAAGTACTTTCCAATACCTATCCTGTGGGAACATGTTACCTGTATACCAAGCTACAGTCTTATGTAAAGGAGATTATGTCTTTGTGTATTCTTAGGTCAGTGACTGACTACCATCTTCCCTCGGTACCTGAGATAAATTCCAGTTTGGGATTGAGTTAGTGTAATGGGATTAGCTGTTCCTAATCAAATGAGGTTAATTGTACGTCATGATGAGGAATGAAAGACATATTTAGAGGAAGGTGGCGGGGGGGCATCTTGACTGGGCTTTCGACTGCGTGCTGACTGTGGCAGCTCAAAAAGTTGTGTCTGTGCCAGCGCGTTTGATCACCAAGAAAACCCTCTCGTGTCAAACTTCCTCCGACTCCCAACTTCAAAAAATACCCCAAATCAAAGAGCATCACGGAGCAAGAAAAAGATTCACCCGCACAACCCTCAAAATAGCATAAAGAGAAATATGTATCAAAATATCATCAGTCATCTTTTTTCTCCAAGAAACAAGTCCAAAAGAACAAGTGGAGGAGGGGGAGGGTGGGATGAAAGTGCAGATAAAATCACCTCCACAGTGTATGTGCTGCAGGTAGGAGATAAATTAACAGCAGGATGTGAGTTCTCTGTTAAACCCAAATCTTCCAAAGCGGGGCACAAGTGTCCTTGGATGTCCCCAATTTTTCTTTTCCTTGCTTGATTTGATGTTATCATCATTGACTTGGACTAAGACTAGCCTAATATTTGTGTAGGCCCTTACTCAATAGCAATTTCATCCTTGAGCTGGGGATTGAGGCGCAATAATAATGCACCTCATTGTGTAAGCCGGTCTCAATAGGTGCTTTGTTGTTCGGTGACAATGCTGTTAGTTGGCCAATGTGTTTTCAAGGGCACGGTGGTGATGATGACGTCCAAGGCTCCCCCTTTGTTCGAGAGCCAGATAAGGACCACTGGAAAACACACACAACTGCCTGTAGATGACTTTATAATGAAGGGTATCTGGGTTCCATTAACCAGGCGTTATGATCACCCAAGGTTACATAAGGCTAATGATTTGCATAGGAAAGACAGCTTTTTAATTGCAACGGTCAGCACATACACTTACACCAACACATCGGTATGCATCTCATATCCAAAGTCCCACCTAAGAGATGTTTGACTTGTGTGTGTGTGTATGTGTGTGTGTCTTCCACTCTACTGTATGTGTACACATCCCCCAAAAAGACTTCAAAACAAGAAAAAAGGAAAAACATGCAACAAAAATACCTTCGTCTCGAGGCTTGTTCATTGAAGATTCATCATGTTTTTTTGTGAGCGGACCTAGGGTTAAGAAAAAAAGGGGGGAAAAAGAGAAAAGAGAAAATTCAAAAAAGATTACTGGCAAAAACGGAAAAAAAGAATATCAAAAAAAGAAAAGAAGAAAGAGCAAAAAGGACAAATCAGCAAGAGTTCATGGTTGCTTATTGTTTTGTTTTGTTTTTTTCCTTTAAAAAGAGTACAAAAGCAAAAACAAAAGGCATCACAGACACAGATTTATCACAAGAAAAGACACAAGATCAAAGAAAGCTGTTTTTTGGATGTGATTTCCTTCTCTCCCCCTGCAGAAGAAAACGGCTGCCATTGTTTCTCTCTCTCTCTCTCTCGCTCTCTCTCTCTCTCTCTCTCTCCTTGAAACCCTGTTTGTTCCCTGAGCCTAACTCTTTTTTGGGAGCTGGCTGGCTGGCTGGCTGGGTGGGTGGCTGGGTGGGTGTGGTTGGTGAAGAGGGGGGAAAAGGGGAACGTGGAACAATAAGGCCTCTGCGGTTTGAAGAACAGGACCCAGCCCTTTCCTCCCACCATATGACCAGAGAAAAAAGAGACATATTTCTAAAAAAGTACAGGCAAAGAAGAGGACACCTATAGGAAGAATGGCAGGTTTGGGTCCTGATGCTCAAACCCCAAAATCTTTCTTAACCCCGACCTTTCAGCGGTGAAAGCACATAGAACATTTTAAAGGGCTGCTGCACAGCGTTACTCAATTAGACCTTTTTAGATAGACACACTGAACACAAAGACACCTTTAATTAGACAGCCACTGGTAAGCAAATACACAATGACCCTGTAATGGTAAAAGGCACGTTAAACATGTTTCAGATAGAAAATAGGGCACAGGTGCTTTTGTGTTTTGGAGTATGTGTGTGTGTGTGTGTGTGTGTGTGTGTGTGTGCGGGCATGTGTGTTTGTCATTATTTATTGGTTAAACCAGAGAGTTATTCCCCAGGCGGGTAAATAATTACATAGCACAACAGCAGAGTGTCAATTTGAAATGACAAGTAAGCGTGACACTAATTGCGCAGGGGAGTGCAGGTAAAAGGTGAATGTAATTTGATCCCCATCTGCCCACTGGCTGTTTTTGGTAAATTAAAAGAGAAGAAGACGAAGAAAGAGAGAGAGAGAGAGAGGGAAAGAGAGACAGAGAGAGAGGGAGCAGGAGAGAGGCACACAGGAGGGGAAACAAAGAGAAAAATCACCCCTTTTCCTCCCTCCATCATCATCTCTGAAGGTTTCTTTATTATTATTTGTTGATGAACGGCTAGCATCACATTCAAGGGAGCGGACTGTGGCCGAGTAGTTTCAGCACCGTCAAGGCCTCCTAATGTTCCTAGACGCCTTCTCATAGAGTCAATCAGGACAGGAGGCGTTTAAGAAAAATACGACAAAATCAGTTTTGATCTTGATCCCGTTTTGTCATACTCCTGTCGTTTTTCATGTGCGCTTCATTCGTGTACACATAACACAGAAAACAGACAAGCCACCTTTTCGAATGTAACAAAAACTATATATGTATAGTGTTCACCATCTTTCAGAGGGTGAATGTTAGTAGAAAACACTCTGCATTCAGAAAGTAAGTACAAAAATACTCTTTCGCCTTTCATCGCTTTTCGCTTTCATCTGATAAATCCACTTTGGGAACTTGAGGTTTGGTAAAGAAACAGGATTTTATTCAGTTGAATCTGTGAAAAAAAAACAACTTATATAACATAACACAGACGGACTCACTGGAGGAGTTTGCTCCTCATCAGGGTGTTGTACAGAATGGGTAAAAGCATACAGGATGGCTGAATATCTGTCAATTATCCAGTGAGAACCAGACACATGAATGAACAACCTCTAAAAGGTGTGACACCTCAAACACTCGACATTTCAAAATAAAAGGACATAACAAAATGTTACATCAACTCACAGAATACGCAATAAAGGCTACAATAAGGATGGAGTTTAAGACGTGTGAAAAACACATCCCAGGTTGAAATCTCTGGGAAAAAGGTAATAAGTGGAGTGAAGATGTGGTGTTTTAAGAAGGAATCCTAAAGAGCAGAGTCTGTTAGTGTTGCCAAGTATGCTTAGTCATAATAAATATGTATTTATACTGGCAAGATTTTCATAGGGAGGTGGTTGGGTTAGATAAAGAATGTATACGTAGACGTATAAAGAACTTTGACACCAGAGACCAGGGTTTGAATCCCAGGTGTGGTTAGGCTTAAGTGTTACAAATAAAAAGTCAGAGCCATGGTAGTGAGTGTGAGGCTGCACTTAGGCACACTGGTATTTTAAGATAAATGGCAACATCAGCAAGCTAGCATGCTTGTGTAATGTTTACCGTGTTAGCATGCTAACATTTGATGATTAGACAGCTGTATAGCTGAGGCTGATGAGAATGTCATTAGTTTTGTCAACCTGTTGGTGGTCCTGTAGGAAAAGTCGGGGGATCACCACGAGGAGTCACTGTCTGGGAACAGTCCATCAAAAGTCAGGCGATAATCAGCGTCATTAAGATTCATCCTCTGGGGACCATGAAAGTCCGTACATAACTTCATAGCAAGGCATCCAATAGTTGTCGACATATTTCAGTGTGGACCAAAGTGGGGGACCAATTAACAGATACATTTCCATCCATAAAACACCAATGACAGTGGCTAAAAAGGAGTAGACAGTCAAAAAATACAAACAGGATAGAATTAAAGACCTATGTGAATATTAAAAAGTAAAATATCCTGATGAAGTATTAGTTAGTGTTGTCGAGTTAATAACCCCCCGTTGACTGGATTTTGGATTTGCTTCTACCAGACTCTCCTTCTGGTTGTTTAGGCCTTTACATCAAGAAATAAACACTGCATTTGCTGCTCAAACACTTACAGCCCCTACAAGGAACTTTCATTTTGTGTTGATTCTGGCGACCCCTGTGGACAAAAGTGGTAGTGTTTCTGACACCTCGTTGCATTGATTTCAATGGGAATTCAACTGAATTCAACCCGGTGGTAGGCATTAAGAATACCTACATAGAAATAGCTTCTCACTAATGGTCCTGTTTGTTTATGTAGGTCATATAGGCATCAGTATTAAACCTCCTTGTAGTACATTTAACACGAAAATGAAAAGGAATGAAAACTTTTACTTTGATAGTAAGTAATATTTATTGCCTTAAACCTAAGATTTACAGAATTTTCTACTAATTAAAAAACTCGAAAGCTGAGTTTTATAATAATTTCTATGGTATTTCCAAACTGAAAGCAGAAGTCAGTAGCTATAGCTGCAGTGCAGAGGTTTATATTATAATATTTTACAGTCGCATTTACCAACCCTCAAACATCAGCTAAATAATTGTGGACCTTGAGTTAAGATTATTTTCAGGTAAACTGAATTACTTACAGTCCTTTCTCTATAAAGGTAATGCAGTTGTAATACTGTTTCATACAACAATACTGCTTCATCTGCAGCACCTGATTAGCTCATTGATTTTTAAATAGGGTTGTTGTAATGTTAGCAGAAAACAACCTTAGGGGCATGTTAATAACCAATGCATGACAAAACTATTTACTAAAAAGTTTGTCAAGTCATAAAAAAGTTTTAAATAATATCCTGCCCATCAAAGAAACCAGACTAACACTTTTTTAGGGGGGAGGATGACAAAATGGTGAGAGCAAAAATCAAGCAACCATTACGGGCCCGGGAACATGCTGAGAAAAAGTGTAAAAACCGAGCTTGATTGACATCTTTTTGCAATGAGCGGGGTGAGGAGCCTAGCAGTGTGAATCAAGTAGAGAGAGAGAAAAAAATAGTTTTCTTGACATTTTAAGACTCCTTTCCCAATCAAAGGAGCAGAGGCGACAGGGGCATGTGCAATTTGTGGAGAACCATACCCCAACTCCCATCAACCCCCTCCACACACGCACACACCTATGTGTACGTGACAAAAATAACAGCAATTATAAGACACCCAGAATAGATGGTAGTAGTACATTTGCCTGACTACTACAGCACAGGGCTAAAAAAGGGACATCCAGCACATTCTATTAATATATTTCATTTTTTAGAACCAAGAATAAGGCTAATAAGACGTTAGCAGTTGTATGACGCATGTACTTTTTCCAATATGGTAGCCAGTCACTCGTGCCACATTGGCCGCGCTTAAAGTAGCTGCTAAAGAAAATATTTTTGACCTAAAGTTGTTTGCAGCCTCTCTCATCTACAGTCTCTGTCTTTTATCCTCTTCTCTGTGAAAACAGCTCTCTCTCTCTCTCTCCCTCTCTCCCCGCGTTTGGCCGTGTCTGTATCGCCGGCCAACTGCAGCTCACTTTGAAGCCGGTTACGTAAGGCTTCACTTCAGCTCCACTTCTCCCCACGGGCGCACACACACACACACACACACACACACACACACACACACACACACACACACACACACACACACACACACACACACACACACACACACACACACACATATTTCGGTAAACATGCATGCAAAACAGACATATAAAACAGACTGGTATGCAAGAGGTGTGGAGATGCACATTTATACACAAGGTGCAGCAAAAATAATAAAATAAAGAGACACCAGAGAGAAGAAAGAGAGAATCAATACTCGTGGTATTTTGTGTTAATGCACCTATTGAACTGTATTTGTACAGCTGTGTCTGGTATCGAGGGATAGACAGACTCTATTTTTTTCCTTTACTGTCCTGCTGTGCAGCTTTCCACTTCAACTACAAGGTGGAGAAAGTGTTTCTCATTCAATATTTTTTTCTTTTATGAATTACAAAATAAAGTAAAAACCAACAGGAAGCCTGGTAATAAGGTGTTGCGCCATTAAGAGCCTCCAAAACAACTTCAATACACCTAGTTATACATTCTTCAAGTGTGTGGAAGTCTAATAGAGGGATTAACATTATTTTTCCACAACATATTTTGATGGTGGTGGTAGAGAACACTGTAACATCAAAAATCTACCATAGGTGTTCAGCTGGATTGGTATCTGGTGACTGTGAAGCTGCATACTT